CTGGCCTTTCCTGATGCTTTCACACTGGCTGCCTTGTATAACATCATTTAACTAACATCCTCGCTTTCATCGGTTCTCCTGGTTTCCATTTCCCATGATAATGATGCCGATAATGGTGGTCCATCCTTTGAAAGAAAAACACTTTTGCTTCAGGCTTTTGTCTCTAATCTTGTTTTCTCCTCTTATCTTATCTTTTACAGGCCAAATATCGTGTATGTTGCCAGCAACCACTTTGTGTGGCGCCTGGTGCCCGTGTCAATAGCCACTCAGATCCGGCAGCTTCTACAGGACAAACAGTTTGAGCTTGCTCTTCAGCTGGCGGTGAGCAGCAAAACCACTCGCATTACTATTAAAGCCCATTATTACATTCCTGAGGATTCAATTTGTGCTTTAGCTCGAAGCATGGGACATTAAAATCACTTATCTTGATTAGGAGCAGCAAGCCGAAACGGTAAAAATGCTTTCAACTTTGGAGTTTATGGTTACCTTATTTAGCAATCTGGCTATCCAGAGACTTATCTGGGACTTTTTACTGTAGCGTGATGAATTCGTTGACTTTCTTTTTTTTCCTGCCAGAAGATGAAGGATGACTCGGATGGTGATAAGAAGCAGCAGATACATCACATCCAGAATTTATATGCCTTCAATCTGTTTTGCCAGAAGAGATTTGATGACTCCATGCAGGTTTTTGCCAAACTCGGCACAGGTAGGACTTCTGTCAATCTGCTGGGACACCTTTCCTTTTGTTTTCTGACAAACAGCTCAGCAATATGCGCCTATAGCTGAGACGTCTTGAAAATATTTTGTCCACTCGGATGAAGGCATCTGAATTTTCCCAGTATGTTCTTTTTTGCTCCTGTTGCTTACTGTGCATATTGATGGAAGAAGTTTATACATATGATCACTGCATGTTATTACTTGTGCCTGTATGAGAGTTTATTATCATGTGATTCTTGCTCTAATGGGCTTAAGATTTCAGTTTTCACAACACTGTGTTATAAACATGTTACTCAAAATATAGTTTCCTTTAATCAATCTAGAAGAAGGTAAAGGTTTTAACTGTTATCCTCCTTTGCTCGGCAGATCCTACACACGTGATTGGACTTTATCCAGACTTGCTCCCAGGTGATTACCGGAAACAACTGCACTACCCCAACCCTCTGCCTGCTCTGTCTGGGGCAGAGCTGGAAAAGGCGCATCTCGCTCTTATTGATTACCTCACACAGGTAGGTGTGTGTTTGTGTGTCAGAGAAAAGTGGAAAATTTCATAGAAGTTCGATAAGATTTTTGCTTTAAGGAGGTTTGGTCACTTTTTCTTTTAAACAAACCCTGATTTTTATTTTTATTTTTCTGTCCTCAAAGAAACGGAGCCACCTTGTGAAACAGCTGAATGACTCTGACCCTTCTACGACATCTCCTCTCATGGAGGGCACGCCTACCATCAAGAGCCGCAAAAAACTCCTGCAGATCATCGATACCACCTTGCTGAAATGTTACCTTCACGTAAGACATAATTAAGACTTTTGAGATAACCCTCTCGAGCAGTTTAGATTTCACATAAATTAAAGCCCGCGCACACAAAGCTGGGGTCCCTGGGCCCTCACGCCTCAGACTGTAGTTTAAGTTTAAAGAATAGCTTGCTATTGTCAGCAAGCCTACTCCGAATGTTTATACCTTGCGATACAAGTTATATCAGCTCTGACAAACTTGGCAGCTTTCACCATCCATTTACAGTAAAAGGAAGTGATCTCAAAAGTAAAATTGGTAACTGGTTTAGTCAGATAAGCAGACAAAACTCTTCAACAAGTGGCAGGTGAATCATCTTCTTTATTAAGATGTTTTAAAAATGTAAATGTGAATGAAATTAATCAACAATTTTCCAGACACTCACTTATGTTTCACCATATAAACAACAGCAAACAGACTATAAACCTATGTTGTAAAGATGATGCATTAGACATGACCAGGGCTATGTAGTGTCACAAAATGATGCAAACAAATACAGGCGTTCTTTCACAAGCACAATATAGCTGCACATCTGATGGAATACAACGCAGGCAAAGCATAATAAAACATAAAGTCCTCTATAAGAAATCACAAACATGCTTACAGTCCCAAAACTCATCATTGAATTCTTTTGAGCAACATAAAATACTCAGTGCTTTCCAGAAACTGACAAAGAATGATGGCTCTACTATGAATGACAATGACCGTGAGTGCATGTGATTCACTTCCTGTTTCTCACTTGTAGAAACTGGCAGCAACATTAGGCAACTTGATATGTAGCCATAGGGGAGTGTGTTAAACAGTTAATGGGCAGGTTTAAAGCAACTTAAGACAAACTGGATCACAGTTCAAAGCAGTGTTAGTTTGACTCATTGAGGCGTGACAGCAGCACTGTGGGTCCGGTGTTG